CTCTTATGATGAAATGCTTTAGAACTAGTGTTACGGACCATGTTTTGGAAAATAGTGGTCTAGAGCATGACTTAAATATGAAATTGTCAATTCCTGTCAGTGTGAATGCTCTTGTTTTTATTCATTTCCTCCCTTATGCAGCACTGGCCACTTCACCTTTCCTTTCCAGCTGTGTGGGGCTCAGCCGAGTGACCGCACAGGAGAGCAGTGAGGCCATTTGAGGCCTGAGCCTGGTCCTCGGGACTTGACAATCTCTCCCTGCCACCAGGCACCCTGCCCCAGCCCCGCTCAGCCATCTCCACACTCCTCTGACAGAATGAACGCCCTGGACGGTGTTCCCTTCAAGGTGCCCAAGGGCTTTGTGATAGATACAGAACCTCTCCCTGGGCCAGAGCTCAGTGTCCCGGCCTGCAGGGAGCTTCTGCTGGGTTCTATGGTAAGTGTGCCTCTGTCTACCTCCTGGGTCTGTGGGTACGAACTAAGTCCCAGGGGGCTTTGTTCCTTGATTTTGAAGGGCAGCTAGGCCTGTTATCATACAGTCTATGGAGTTTGGAAATAACTCAATAGAGGAAAATGTGTTTCGCGAAGAAGGCTGGTGGCTGGGTGATGAGGATTGTTTAGTGAGTCTTGTTTTAAGCTTAGGGTAATTGGGAGGTTGCCTGTGTGAAGTGACTGAAAGTCGTTGCAAGGATGCTCCAATTCCTCCCCTCCCTATCAGCCTACTGCCATGTCTAAAATTCCACCATTAGAATCATTTCTTTGGACTAAGATGCTGTCTCCGGAATCCCCTGTTACAATGCAGACAGTCACATGGGACGCATTAGAAGGGATGACTGTTCCACAGACCCACAGCCCATCTGCCCTGGAGGTGGCCTTGATGCAGCCCAGGCCTGGGGCCTACACACTGGGATATGCACATTCCCAGGGAATGCAGTCATAGCACACGTGACCTCAGGATAAAAGTGATTAAACTTCCTGAAGATTCAAGTTTACTTGAAGATTTAGGGGGAAACCTATTTTATTTACATTATAACACAGCTATATCATGGGGTAGGATATAAAATTTGCATGAATTTGAGAAAATCAAAGAACAATATTGCAAGGAACTGGAGCTGGCGTTGGCCCCTTGGGGCTGGGTCCTCAGACTCTTGTATATTTACTCTCTACTGTCTGCAGGGTACTTCGTAGAAAAATTTGAGAATCTAGTTGGGCTCTCACTCAATTTGCCTGTGAGGAACCTGAGACCCAGAGAAGAAAAATGATTTTTCTAAAGTTAGTGGCAGTGACAAGACTAAAACCCAGGTCCTGACTCCAGGTCATTTCATACTAGCTAAGAGTAGGACTTGGAATATGAGAGATATAGGGCAGGTAAGGTTTGAAGGCAAAAAAAAAAAAAAAAAGGGAGGTGAGGGCTGTTGCAGCGAAGTCAGAAGCAGAGATCAGTCCAGGAAGGACAGACTTGGGCAGGGGCAGGTGGAGGGGCTTGGGTGGCCTGGCGGTGCAGGGGAAGACCGCCCAATTTTGCTTCATCTGCAGACCCTAGAGTGGCACCGAGGCTCCTCAGGTCCAGGGTTTCCAGAACGGAAATAAGCTTTGTAAAGCTCAGAGCACCGTGTCCAGGGGCCCATGCTCTGTTGGGCAGGAGCCCTCACTCTCCCTGGCGGCCTGTGCTGTGGGCTCTTATTCTCGCACAGGGCTTTTGCTGTTGAGAAGAGGAACATGCTTTACTAAGCCTACAGTAGAGGGGGATTATCACAGCTTTCCCCTCCCTGCTGAGCTCAAGCCACACTGAGAAGAGGCTATTCTGAAGCTTACCTCTCCTAAAAGCAGAAATGGGCACCCTTCTGCCAAGGCCATGCCACATGCTGACCCTGGCTCCGCCCCCTACGCTTGGGGTGGGCAACAGCTCTCCCTTGAGCCTGTTTCCCTTCTTGGGCCTCCATTTCTTTTACTGCTGGGCCAAACTAACAAATAGAAAAGCAGGGGACTCCAGATATGATTTACAGCCTCCCCTGGTCAATCCTCTAGCTTTACCAGGATGTATTCCCAGCGTTTGGCACTTGAAAGATGTTAACCCCATAACAACGTTATAGACGGTAGGTAGATTACCAGATGGGCACACAGTGGCCTAAAGGGAAAAAAAACAGCTGCCATTCAACATCTACTGTGGACCAGGCCTGTGCTAGGTGCTCTTCATACATTTGCTCTTCTCTCCTTTTTATGATGATCCTTTTAGAAGGTGAGTAGTCCTATACTATGGCACAGGAAACCAAAGCTCCCACCCAAGTGACCCACAGGGCCACATGGCTTATGAATGACACAGCCAGGATCCCAGCACTAATCTGTTACACCCAAAGCCCATGTCCATATCCTGCGCCCTGTTGCCTTCCCAAGAAGCCCTTCTTTCCATAGTTAAAGCTTCACTAGGCCT